GTGCTTTTTGGTTAAATGAAATTGTTTCCAAAGATATTTCTGAAATAATGACTACCGTTCTGTGCGTCTTTTTTTTTTGAGTGGTAGCCTGTTCAGATGTTGAACTAATTTGTATCTCAGAGTCTGGGTAATCTGTCTTGCTAAGATGTATCATTAACTAAGGAAGAGGTGGAACAGTGTCATCTGTAATGGCATTAGAGGTTAACAGATAGCACTAGTGCCCTTGGCTCACGGGGCTGTGGGACTCGAGAGCTGCGTTTTGACTGTTTAACTGAGTGAAATACCTGCCAGCTCTGGGGCGCTGGGAGGAGCTGCTTTCTTCTTCTGTCCATCAGTAGACAAAACGGCAAGGACCCGGTATACCTTAGCTAGTTCTTGCAAAGAAGGGCTGGTGGGGAGATGGGATTGTGGTATCAAAGGTTGCATGTTGTACCTCACCAGATGCACAAAGGGCTGTTGCTTCTTACACACCTAGCAATAAACTGCGCTGCTGGCAAGATGCTCATAACTTACGACCTGCTTACTCAAGCCCTGTGTTAGTGGCTACTGCAGAAGGAAGATGCCTATTGGAGGTTATGCTGTTACTGGTATCTTTTTCTCATCCTGCAATTGTGCATATGGATATTTTGTACTTTCACAAAGCCTCGATGAGTCAGTGAGGTTCTGTGTGGGTTCACGAGCTAGCCTCTACAATGGCGATTGCGAGGTCAGGGCCTTAATTGTAACCAGCTTGGAACCAGATGATAGATCCTTCAGTATTGGGCATCTTTGAGGGCAAGTACAGCTGTTTTTGGAGACAGTTTGTGTTTGAAGGACACTTTTAACCTAATGGTTTTTAACTCTACGTGGAATTCTCCTGTTTCAGCAAGAACTTTATACCTGGATCAGGCTTTGTGCGGTAAGACGATAGTGTTAAAAAGGAGTGGGTCGCTCTGAATCTGCTGCATTGCAAGGGATTAGTAAAGATGTTAGATATCGAGGGCAAAATTCTTTGCCTGAATGAAGTCAAGGTGAGACTGGCATTTTATAGACTTGATTATTTTTGTGCACAAAGCAGTGCATAACTTCTGGTGACTTTAATTGGCACCATATAACAGTGATCGCTGTGTAGCACTGTCAAAGCTTGCCGAAGAGCTTTAGGAGCGTCTTTTAATAGCAGCGCGCACGGTATTCCTCTAAGCAGACAGTAACACAAAAGCAAACATGAAAACTTTTGCCTTTGGTTAGCCTGGTTATGTCAGTGAAGAGATGGCCTCTTGATTAAATCCAGATTGAGCAGTTTCCTGTTAGCATGCAAGCTCGGCTCACAATGTCTTATTCTGCAAGTCTGTTATTGAACTCGTCTGCCAAGTCTTTTTCCTTTTAAAGTCACAGGCAGAATTGCAAATATAATACGAATACAAACAATCCCTAAAAGTCTCTTAAAATGATTTCTAGCAGTTTAATGTTTTGCTGAATAACTTGGTTTTAGTTTTTCAGAGTTTGAGTGTGGTTTTCTTGGTTTATTTTTCTTTTTAAACTTTCTCCCAGTGTGATATCTTGGTGAAGTTGCAATTAAATGAAAATTTTGTGCATATGTTAATCTTAGAAGTGGATTCTTCCCTTGTCTGGCATGTCATGTCAGTGAATGAGAGTTTTTACACACAGTGAAAGTAGAATGTGGCCTTAATTTAATATGTTGGGAAGGGAGGGAGCCCGCTGGGCAGAGAACCATATTGTCAAATACAGCGATGCAGATTTTCTTCCCTGTGTTGAAAGGGGTTGTGTTATATAACTGGTTATTTTCAAAAGTTTATTTTAAACATAACGTGAAAAGTCAGCAATAAAATTCAATTTTCTATGTTTTTTCCAAGTTTTGCTTAGGAAAAAGTTTGTATGGAGTGGTGTTATTATATATTATTGCAGATGCATCTTTAAATTGGGTATAAAATTGTATACCTTTAAAACAGCTGTAAGGTTTGCGTGACAAAACTTTGCGAGTTACTCTGGTGTGATGTCGTTACTTCCTGTGGGATTGTGCATCGGTGTTTGTAACAGTAGGCTTCGGTGCAGTAGTACAATGCGTTGCCTGGTCTATATATAAAATGCACTAATCCGTTCATGGCATGAGATAAAGTTGCCCAGTCTGTAATTTCACAGTCGGTTTGAACTGACGTCAAGTTGGAGTGCTTCCAGAAATCGCCTTCCTGCTTGCTCCCCAGCTTCTCTTCTCCCTGTGCGGGCTGGGTGGCGAGCTAGACTGGGGAGCTCACCTGGCTTCAACCAAACCCCTGCAAGTGAAGTGAAGGGCATGGTTTCAGACAGACGGCTTTTCCAGTCCGGGACGTTGTGTAGTTAGTTGCATGAAAGCTTCTTTCGGTGGCTTATTAAACTCGATATGATACGGTATCACTTCACAGTTGAGATTTGGCTATATGTTTTCTTGCGCCTTTACTTACCTACTGTGTCCGTCGTCTTCACAATCTTGCACCTTGATCCTATGAGATGCCCCTGGCTGTTCCAGGGCTTCCTACAGACACAGAAGCTACTTTTCTGCCACAAAACAGTGCCCAGGCCCATTTCTAGTTGGAAAGTCCAGAACATTGTGGAGTACTGCTAGAAATAAATAATAATTTGCCACGATCTTTAGAGGCCTGTCTTTCTCTGTGTTTTATGCAAACAGCAAGTGGTATTTTAATGTTACAGCTGGGTTTGTTGAGCATTGTTAAATTAGGAAACAAGGTGTCCTTGTGCAAGAATTGGAGCTTTAGATTAATATTAAAAATGTCGTCTTCTAGAAGAAGAAGGGATTTCTGTTATAAATGGTTTAAAAACAATGGAAGGTAGTGATACAAATGTGAAGTGTGTGGATTATCAGTTCTTATTACTTCATGAATGAGATTTTTTCTTTGTGTATTGCCAGTATGTCCAGTGTAGTGACTAAAAAAGTCATTAATATTTTTTTTCTTGATGTCCTCAGTCTAGTACCAAGGTGTTAACATTTGGAATATTATTAAGCCTTGTTATTTCTAGCTCGTACATTATGAGGCAGTTTCCAGAGCAAACGTTTGATCAAATGGGCCTTATACCTGAACTCATCATTCAGTTCTGGAGTTACCTCTTCAGGATGAGTTTGAGGCATGTGGTTGAGAAACCCCAAATATGGATGGTGTTGTTACTTACTTAAGGAATCTCTCAATCTAGCATCGCTAGGCCAGCACCTCTATGAATACTGGTTCAAAATTCAAAACCCAGAAGAGTTGTTAAATCATAAATGTTTACTGTGAGGCTTATGTGGGAAATCTGACCTCATGATCGCCCATTACTATTTGTATATTGTGATGCACCGGAAGCCCTGTCCTGGGAAGGGAAGGGAAGGTTATGATTCAGCAAGAGCATCAGCACGGTTGAAAGCTTGCTGTGAGTGCGTATGTGCCGGAGGAACTCTGCTGTGAAATAATGCCGCAATGGAAATAGGAAGGACTCCGCTTTTATTTCGATGTTATAAGAGAATTGATGATGCAAAGACTAGACTAGACTGTGTTGTCTGTTCTTACACAGAGCAAGTTTATTTCCTGTAGTATTTTTCTACTGATATACTTAGTCTAGCTTAAAAAGATTTAAGAAATATTTTTTCAGTCTTGAATATTTCATAATGGCCTAACTTTTCCTTTGCATAATCACGTTGATTCTAAATAGGTCCAGGGCCTGCCTTAAAACACTTTCTGAACCCAATATATGTGAATGAAAGTAGCTTTATAGTTTGAAAAGCTGTTTCATTCATTCAGATAACCTCCCAAGAGTTTATGTACATAACTCACATGGTGATGCCTATTGGGATTTTTTAACAGACTTCCTTTCCATGTATGGGTGCGTGCACGTGGGCAGGCTCAAACCTTCTCTTCCTCTCGAAGAAAATGTTTCTTTTGGTTTTTGGAAGTTTATCAGTGGTAGTGCTGTGTGTATTAAACAGTGATCAAGCATGTAAATGCTATCAATGTAAAGGAACAAGTGCATGGCAGCTTATTTTCCTCAAGGTGAAGGTGCGATACATCAGTCGGTTTGATCCTCACTAACCACAATACTGGCCATTTTTATGCTAATGGTCTTGACCATTTTTTTCCCCCCTACAGATAGACGACTGAAAAGGTAAAGAAAAATTTTCTATTAGATTGCTGTTGATGTTTTTCTTTATATTCCCTTTTTTAAGGCTTTTTATCACACACAGTTAAGAAATTAAAGTAGTCACAAGCGTTATTTTCTAAATTGTGCTCTAGACAGTGATGTAATGTAAGGTAGTGTTTCTAGTTATTTCTGCTGGCTTGAAACAGACTGTAAACAGTAAAACCAAATGCTGGTGAGGGGAAAAAACCCAGCCTTCCCCAGCAAACCTGAGATTTGTCAACAAATATTGTACCCACATGGAAATTAAGAGAGGGCTGAAGGGAAACTGAGAAGTTACTATGGTATGTTTGCAATATGCCTGTGACACCCTCCTTGCAAAAAGTATTATGAAATGTTTCGTGACCACATGTGTTCGCGACCTTAGATTTTGTATGCCGGCCCAAGGCCGGCCCCTTCACCGAAGGGATCGCAAGTGTTCTGACACTAAAGCTATGATCAGTCTTAGTATTTATTCAGAAATTAAATGAGACGGTGAATCACCAGTTGTTTCCTCTAGCAACCTAATTCTCTTTGTGGGATAATGAACTTTCTTTCAGATAATAACATATTGTGGGATTATATGGTGACTTGATAGCAGTCAGAATCTAAAATATTTTGTGGAACGCGTTAGAGAAATATTTTAAAGAAAGGTAAACTTACTAAAAAAACTCCATTATTTGATACAGCGTTTGCTGTTTGGAGAGACAAAATTGAGAAAATAGTTTAGTAAGTAAAGAGGGGTGGTGAGCTAGAAAAGTACCCTGTGAAAAGACAGAATTTAATCTATGTTTCTGTGTGACAGCTGCACAAGGGGTCTTGCTTCCCTCTGATTTTGTGTTTTTGTTTTAACTTTGTAGGTTGAAGGGGACCAGTTACCTCCAGGACATACTGTCAGCCAATATGAAACGTGTAAGATCAGGACGATAAAAGCTGGAACTTTGGAGAAGCTTGTGGAGAACCTTCTGACAGCTTTTGGGGATAACGATTTTACCTACATCAGTATTTTTCTGTCAACATATAGGGGCTTTGCTTCTACTAAGGAAGTACTGGAACTTCTCCTTGACAGGTAGGAATCAGTACAGTGGAAGCTAAGCCTTTTTTACTTGATGGGGGCAGGTGATTATCGGGAATTTCTTCCATTAATTTAAAGGGACATGGCCTTAATGACCCAAGAGACAGATACAAAAATTCTGGAAAATGCGATTTCAGCATAAATATGAAGTCAATAAACGCCTTCTGCTCACATCTCAGCTCTTATTAAAACCTGGTCACCAGGTTGGGAAAGTGGGCTGCATCTGGCTGCTGAGGAACCAAACTGGGACCAGCACAAGGGGAATGAGTGTAGCTGTTTCCCCTCCAAAATGGAATGCATGTGCTGCAAAGTCATACCTAGCGTAGATTTCAGGCTATCGGTGTTCCTGTATGTTGCTGGGTACTAGTATTTTCAGACCTAATTCTCCTATCTGGGATCTGCTGATTCAAAACAGGGACTGCACAAAGCTACGCAAAACCACATCACCTCCTTCTATTACTTAACATGAACATACAGTCATAAATTTTTACAGACAGCCTAAGAACCACTTAATGTTCCAAGAATGACTTTTACTGTAAGACTATTAAATTGTGTCTGCTCTATCTGTATAAATGCTTAGAAGATGCAACAGTAGTTTCCTGATCTTAAATTTTGAATGAGATACAACTAGGTCCGAGGTGATCTTGTTTGGGGCGCATGTTACCTTTTGCATTTCCAAAACCAAATGATGTACAGAAATAGTTACTCTGGTGTATAGTGCTTAAAGTAGAGGGCTAGCGTAAGAAGTTTTAGGATTTAATTTTGGCTCTCCCACTAGGTAGATATGGAACAAGGCATGTTTAAGCTGTCTGTGCTTCTCTTTCATATCTGAAAAGGAGCATAATACTACTTGCCTCATAGGAATGTTATGCAGCTCAATTAATAACGATATTGAAATGCTTAGCTGCCAGGCCTGCTGTGATTGTAATAACTGTGGTTGCTCAAGTGGACTAACTGAGAACTTCACAGGCAGGTAAGATGTCAGATGAGGAAAGAGAAGCTGTCCTGGGGAGCAAACTATACAGTTAGATTTACTCCTGTGAATGTTACCTCTCAGTCTGTACCAGCTCTGATTGACAGCACATATTTACAGAGCGCTAAAAATGCTGAGGAATTCCTTTCTTGAATGAGTAATTCTTTCTGAAGCTCCAGTTTTTGATTCTGTGTTTTGGACATATGTATCTTCCTAGAGAAAATGGGAAAGGGCACCAAGTTGATGTTGATTACAGCAACTTAAAGCCGAGACGACTCTTGAAGCGACAGCATTTTTTTGAGGAAACTTTTGCTCTGTAAGCGTGCAAATTGCCAAAGAGCCACAGAGTCACAGAAATCAATGGCTGTTTGCATGTGCGTTGTCACTTTCAGCCACTAACGTATGTATGATGTATATATGATGTATTTTCTTTACTTTTTTGTAAAGATACCTATTTTGCAGAAGGAACTTTACAAAAAAGGTTTGCATAAATAAAAACAATAATAGTCTTTCCAATGATGCTCTTGCCCAGAATGGGTATTTTAACTATTATTTTCCTATCAGAGCATTTCTGTTGCTTTGTGTCTAGGGGTTCCCAGACTACTTTCATGTCTTTTTGGATTCTCATCTATTAATTGGTTTTATATCTAGGGGAATGTTCTTTCCATAATGGATGAGAACTTGAAAGTGGCTCAGATAATCCAAATCAGTCAAAGATGGCTCTGAGCCTGATGATGCAGACCCATCTTTTCAATTAAAGGCTCTTGTTTAAATCTCAGGTAACCTTTTGTTTTTTATTTTTTTTAAAGTGTGGTCAAGTACCCTGTTTAAGTGCCCAGGAAATGTCTTTTATGTATGTTCCTTGCACCATCCAACAGAGTTCTGGTTTTAGGAGTTTCCGTTCTTTTTTCTCTTGTTGTTACTGAGGTATTTCAGTACTGCCAATAAACGTCCCAGCTGAGACTGCATACTCGGTTTGCAAATCATATTACAAACACGCTTAAAAGTGTTTGCAAGAGCCCCCACGCTGAAGACTACCTACTATCAAGAGGTAATATGGACAAAGCATGAGAGGAATAGACTATAGCGTGGATATTTAGGAGTGTACTGAGGCAAAGACAGAATAAGGGTCTTGCCCCGCAGTGACTTGGAGTTTGACCTGGGTTTTACACGTTTGTATCTGGTGTTTTTCGCTGTCCTCGGGAGATAAGAAGAGCAATTCATGTATTGCACTTATGTAATTTACATAATTATAAAAGGTCCCATGCGTCTGGCAGGCAAGCCTAGAATCTCTTGGGGTGGGTGGGGGGGGGGGTAAGAAATCTTGGTCCTAGGAGGCTACCTCAGGTCCGTAGTGGAAGGCCTCTTTGGTCAGTGCCAAGCTCCTGGAAAGGGTTAGGAAAGGGCTCTCGCAGCTATTGGTCTGCTGGCCCAGTTTTGTCCTCCTGCGTGCTTCTGGGCAGGGGACTCCGATGGTGTGTCTAACCCTTGTAAGGGCTAGGTGATTATTTCATGTGCGGGCCTGTGGCCCTGTGTCAGTCCAGTAACCCGAGTGGCTTTGGGCGCTCTGGGCAGTTGTGGCCAAGGAGCCAAGCGCCCAACGCTGCTGGAGGGCCGACTGAACCGAGGCACGTTAAGTGGCTGTTGGCTCCAGAGCTCGACTGTAACCACGCGTCCTTTTCCTGCTTTGTCCCTTAATAAGGAGCATCAGTCTCCAGAACTGTCAGTTCAGCCCTTCAGTGAATACTGAAATAAATAATCTCCATGCAGCTGAGGACTGAAGAATTTTAAACTCATGGCTGGGGCCAAAGGGGTAATTTGTTGCAAGAGCAGTCCATCCTACAGTCGTTTAGCCTACTAATAATTTTGGTTGTTTTGTTGTATTTCATCACTGGCCATTAAAATGTTCAAAGAGGCTACACTGTTAGAAGGATGATGAAAAAGTATTTTGGGAATCTTGCTTCTTCCCTGAAGTTCTGACAATGGTTCTGTTTCCCCCCTGCACCTTCCCCTAGGAAAAAGGATCATAGAAAACTAAAAATAGAAGCCTACAAGATTAGTAGAACACAGAGGTTATAAAATCAGATGCTCAAAGATCAGGAAATTGGGAGGGGAAGAAACTCAAGATCACTGTAAAGTTTACGTGTCATATGCTGCAGTTTCTACTTGTATATTGCTTTTTAAATGTAGGCATTAATGATGGGATTTTTAAAACAGCCTGAAGAAAGTAATTACTGAGGCTCTGAGAATCATTGGTCATGAGACACCTAAACTCCTGAGGCTCCTGTGAAAATCCTGGCTTCATGCAGTAAGGGTAGCTTTAAATTGTATACTTGGTGCAATTTAGCTCAGTTGACTCTGCAATTAGGCTTTTAATAATTTCATATCTAGGAATTAGATCTGTAGCGTTACAACTAAATTGTTGCACAAAAGAAATGACAAGTCTAATTTCTGAGTCTGATCCAATCTTCCCTGAATTTTCTCAGGTGTGCATCAGAGGAATAAAAACAGGAAAAAGCATTAACTGAAAAGAAATTGAGCAGACAGGACTTGCTTCTTAGTTGCCTTTTGAAATTTGTGCATAGGTGTTTTGTGATGGATTTTGTTTGAGTATTCCGACAGATAACAGGAAAATTGATATCCTCCTCTAAAAAATGAGGCCCCTGTTATTCACAGCTGCGTTGGTTGTTGATTGAGGGGAAGGATCCAGGGAAGACTGAGTCTTGTGCACTGCTGTGTGCCCTTGCAGTCTTCTGGGCCTGAAAAGATCGAGTTCCTGCCCCATTAGGGTTTTTTGTAACACGCTAGCACTACAGAAGCTCTGCTTTAAGAACGGAGATCCCCTTGGGATTGACTTTGAGAGGGTAAGAGAGGAGAATAAGGAAAAATCAGATATTGCAATTCTGATGCAAACAAATACGCTAAAGGATATCGTAGCAATGCCTCAAGGAGGTTGAGGTTGTCAGGTTGTTTAGAGTAGCAGCAAATCAGGAGTGTGCCTGACTGTAAGGAAACTGGCCCTGCCCTCCTCCTCAGATGCTGCTTTAAAGAGGTGGAAATAGCCAAAAGGGGCAAGACAAGATAAGGGAAAGTCTCCTAGAACACAGCCTACCTTTCTGAGCTCAGTTCTGATCTCTCCGGCTTATGTACCTCTCGGAGCAAGTTATACTGTGCCCTTTAGAGGAAGGGCATGTAAGGCTGCCTGACCTTGTCAACATTATCCTCAGCTTTTTATAATAAATGATAGAATATGCAGGAAATCCTAGGAGGTCACCACGTCCTTCCTCCCTCACAAATCTTAGGAGTGTAACGTTTAAAAATCCATGGATGTTTCTCCTGGCTTTTCGAGTAGCATGGACAAGCTGGAATTTGATGGCTTGGGACAAAGCATAGATGAAACTTAAGTTATAGAAGTTGGAGTGATTTATGTGCAGCTGTAGAATATGGATTTGAGAAGAAACAGTCACTATAAAGAAAAAATAGGAAGAGAAATGGGTAGTAATTGAATTTTAACCAGCTCGGTTTACATCTCTACATTGGAGTGGCATAAGTAGGGAAGAGTCTACGTTTTTGCAACGTTCTTGTTAGTAAGGCTTGTTAATGATGATAATAACACTGTAGAGACTAAAGTGGCTGTCAGTGCATAATCTCTGTCTTATAAAGATTTGTGTTTTGTTTTCCAGTGAAGTAAAAAGTGATGTAAAGGGCTACCTCCTAAAACAGCAAACAGTATCTTGCTGTTGGATTTATTTGTGGGAAAGTGCGTGTCATCAGAGTTTTTTCGGGCAGAAATGTGGATGTGGAAGCTGGGTAGCCCTTGCACCAGGCAGCTCTCAAATCTGACGCGTTCAGGATATGTTAGATTTGCTGTGGAAACATCCCTCGCTACGGAGCGCTGAAGAGCTGCCTGCCTACGTGCATTAGGTGCACACGAACTCTGATCAGACGAAAAGAGCGTATCCCGGGAGATCCGGATGTATTGTACCCTGAGCCTGGGGGCACGCTCGCTAAGCGTGGTCTG